GTAGGTGTCGAACGCTCCAGCGTGCAAGGCGTGGTTTCCCGGTGTCGCGAGCTCTCTGTAAACCTGCGAGCAGGTCGTCGAGAGTGAATCGGCGTAGAGGTCACGCCAGGTGGGGTTCTGCCGCTGAGGGCTGCGGGGCGCGGCCCAGAGGGCGCGTGGCGAGCGCGCCGGGGCAGCGTGGTGAGCAAGGAGGTGAATAGAAAAAGAACGCGCCGCATTTTTCCAAGCGCGACTGCGGGCAGCCGGCGCAAGTGCTGCCCCGTCGGGGGGCCCCGTGGCCTCCCGTAGTGGGAGGGGGGCCCCCAAGTTGTTTAGGGGGGGGGATAACCGTCGGTGGGCAAAGAAGTGGAATGACGCTCCCCGCCTCAGAGAAAAGTCGTAAATCATCTGGAAAGGGTGATCTGGCAAGCCGATCGAACCTGCAGTGCTGTTTGGCAAATGCGAAAACATGGTCCCAGCCAGCCTGGATGCCAAATACGCACGGTGTTCGGTGATCTCCGTAGACTCCGGGCTCTGCTGCAAGGCATGCGCCCCGCAAGAGCCCAACGATCCTTTGTGGGGGGGATCGGGGGTCAAAGTGATTACCAACGGCGCCGTGCAAGTGCTCGGTCGGCTAGCCCCATCGCGCGGTAGTAGTCGAGCATCTCGGTGGGTCGCGCGTGTTCTTCGGGGGTCGGTACTCGGAGCCTGTGTTTCCCGCCCCCTTGCGTGAGCCATCGCCCCCAGGATCTTACTTATTCCTCTTCCTGTTGTCCATCTCGCTCCTTCCCACCGAGAACGTCTTCCAGGCCTTCTTCGCATCCTTCGTGCGTGGCGCTGGCGCTGGTCTTGTGGTTTTTCCTCTCACCCTTTTTCTCGCTTCGGTGAGCCGGATGCAAAGCCATGGTCGGCTGCAGTTGGAGTGATAGAGCAGATGTCTGGGATGCAACTGGAAGCAACTTGGTTGCGCCTCGCTGGGCCCCCCGCGAGACCTGGTCCATGTCGGCACTGCACCTTCAGAGTGGAAGGCCCATTCGTTGTCCCAGGGGGAGGGGGGCCTTGGGAAGTGAAGGTCGAGGTCGGACCTAGGGAAGGAGCCAAACCATCGCCTGTCTCGCGGGCTGACCACCCATTTTCCCGCGTCGATTCTGACCACCCAGTCATCTGGGACCTCGCCCATGGCTCACTGTATGCCTTCCCGGTGCGGTTTTCGCATGGAGCCCGCGTTTTCAACGACCACGTGTATAGGGGTGTCGTTGCGGTGGCATTTGGCGAGGGACCACGCCAGGGGAATAGCGAAACAGGGGACCGACTTGTCCCTGGCAAGGCCGTCCTGGCCGCGTCGAGACCCTGCGTGTGACAGATTGTTGCATGGGCTGCCCCCAACGATCAGGAGGGGGGCGTTGGGCTCCAAGATGGAGACGACATGTTCCCACACCGTTATCGCAGCAGCCGGTGTCAGCCTGAAGAGGCCCCATGCGTCCGAGGCGATGATTCGGCGCGGCGGTCCGCCGTCCCGTGCCCGTGTCTCAGGGCGTTCCCAGTGCTGTGTGACCCTCTGTGCCATGCTGGTGTCGTGTTCTACGAGGTTGGTGGTTCGGAGGAGATCAGCGCGCCCCATTCGATGTAGTAGGCCCCCACTGCGTACCTGGCTGTCCCCCACCCGTCAAACAACGAGACCAGATGCAGCGGGCGATCCTGCCGCCCTCCTTGATGGGCCAGTAAAGCGCTGAGGTTGCCTGTGTTCTGGCCTTTGTGGAGAATGGTTGGGTCAGGTCGTCGGTGGAAGTCGCTCGTGGAAGCGTGCGCTGCTGGCGTTACTTGGGCAGCCACTCGGCCGTCGTGTGCCCCGATATCGCGTGCTACAATCACCCCTTGTCTGGCGAGGTCACGAGTGGCGTCTACGACCGTCTGTTTATTCAAGCCTGCCTGGGAGTGTGCGACAAGCATCGGGTCCTCGGGTGTCGCTGGTGCTCTTCCAGTGGTTGGATCGGCGTGTCTCGACCAGGCGCGCTGGGGCGGATCGCTTGGATTCGGGGGAGAGCTGAGTTCCTCGACGACCTCGTTGGCGGGCCGCTGTCGCACCGAACGTGCATTTGCTGACGCCGCTCTGCTGGCGGGTCGCGCCGCTCTTTTGGCCGTTGGAGAAAGCGCCGTTTGTGCCAAAGCTGAGGCAGAACGTCTCGTCCCGCGCCTGCCCATCCGCCTCAGTCGGCGTGGCAGCTGATTTAGCGCGAGCCACCCTTGGGGCCCGGATTGTTCGCGCTGGTGCTTTCGGCGCGGGTGATGGAATCTGATTTGCCGCCCGTCTTGCGCGTGGCTGACGAGGGCATGGCGGCTGTGCGCCTCCTTTAAGTTGTGGGCCCGTGACTCTGACCGGCGTCTCCGGTTGGGTTGCGTCATGATTGGTGGGGTTGATGATGTTCGGTATGAACGTCGCAGCAGCGCCGTTAGCGGAGGGGGTCGGGGCCGGCTGTGGCGGCCTGTCGGCTGGGATGTTCCTGTCGTCCAACTGTGGGACTTGTTGCGCGTAGAAGGACGTGAAAAAGTCACTGTGCTCGTTGCGTGGTGCCCCGGTGTTGAGAGCGGTTTGGCTGACAATCCCCCGCGTGGTCGTCCAGGGTGGTAGTGGGCAAGGCTTGTCTGGTGAGGCGGGCTCGCAAGAGTTGTTCCGAAGCGTGCCGCATGCACTGTCGATCGCCAAGTTCGGCTTGGAGTTATGATAATGTGGGTCGCCCCCCGCGCCCCGTCCAGGTAGGCGAGCTTCGTTCCAATAGCTGACAAGCAAATTATAGTTTTCCTCACTCAGCCGAAATTGCTCGAAAAGCCTCTGGTTGGTGCGCGGAGTTGGCCGATCGTGGTTCACCAGATGAGGAGTGACATAACAGTCTGCCAGTCCTTTGAGGAGTTGATGTTCCCAACTCTGTCCTTGAACTGTGGAGTCTGAACTTCCTCTGTCACATGGCCTCGGTAACGTTTCGTGTTCTTGAGATGTGCGTTCCGCTTGGTGTTGATGGTGTAGTGGAGGTTCACTCCTTCTGGGACTCCGCCGGCCCTGCCGAGTGGGCTTTTCCCAGGATCAATCTCGCCTGTGCCAGGGAGTGGCAACAGTCTGTTTCTTCGATCAATGCGCTGTGTCGCGTGTGCTGAGGAGCCCGTGGCCTGGGAGCTGGGCGCTGGGAAGTGAAACTGATCAGAAGTGGCAGGGTTGCTCCCGTTAGGGGAGGCCTCGGCTGCTGGAGAGTGAGTGGGAGAGGCAGCCGGGGGTTTCGGGGTGGTTTGCGTGCCATTGTTCAGCGAGGAGGGGGGTGGGTCGCCTTGCAGTGGATGGGGTTCAGCGGGAGTGGGAGGGGTGGCGGGGGAGACGTCGGGGAGGAGGATGTTCGTCATGGCATGGTCTCCTGTAGAGGTCGGGGCGCTCACTCTGGAGGCAACTGCGGAAGTGACAGGTTGCTGCTGGGAAGGTCGGGGCTGCGTGGCGGGGGTGGGGATTGACTGAGTCATCGGTGCGGGAGTGACAGGCTGCTGTTGCGAAGGTCGGGGCTGCGTGTCGGGGGCGGGGATTGACTGAGGTCGTCGGTGCGGGTTGAGTCGTGGAGGCAGGGACTTGGTAGCGGCCACTTGCCTGAGTCCTGCGTCTGGGTGCGCGTCCTGGGTCGGGGCGTCGTCGGTCGGCAGCTCCAGCGCTTCTGATTCCGTTGTTGTGGACTGTAATGGCCTCTTCTGCGTTGGCCGCGACCTGGGGGGACGTGACCAGTGCAAGGTCTCCCCGCGCTCCAGGGAAGTTAAGAAAGAGATCGAACGTGTACTGCGGGACAACCTCACCAACTGGTGCAAGCCATTGCTGGAACGGTGCTTGCTTATAGAAGTTGTCAGGGATTTCGTGGTCCTGAAACAGTTGGTATACATGGTCTCTCTTGCGCCGCATGGGGCCAGTCAGCTGGATGAGCCAGAATATGGTGAAAACGTCCCAGCAGTATCTCTGTATCCGGTTTCCTGCGGCGGTTTTTCTTTCCTCAATCTCCAGGCGTCCAACAATTGCTCGAGCGAGGTCATGCACTTGCTGGTCGTGGAGCGTAATCTCATTTTGGTTGAGAAGGGCTCTAGCCGCTGCGACGGCGTCTTCCTGGGCAGAGACAAGTGTAGGAGGGAGAGGGCATCGTCGCCGGGTGTCGGGGAGCAGGGCAGCGAACGAGGGATAGACAACTTGGCGCGCGGGGCCTCTTTCAGGGGAAAGCTGGATGTCGATACGTTGATTGTCACTTTGGACGTGCTGAAGGGTCGGTGGGAGGCTGAGTCCCAGCTGGACAGGAGTGGGCGTGTTGGGCGGGGTCTCGGTGGATGCACAGATGAAGACAGGGCCGATGGCCAGGCAGGCCTCAATGGTGGTGAGGGGGCGAAAACTGGAGTTGCTGGCCGAATGGTTTTCCATTGCCGAACGGACGGCCGCGGTGGTCCACGAGGGCAATGTGTAGTGCAGCACGGCACGCTCACCTGCTATGGTGACTGTGAGGCTGCCGCCGGCTGCGATGGCGAGAACTGCGAATTCCCCTGGACAAAGGCTGAGCTCCACTCGTCGCGCGGACTCGCTGTCGTCTCCCGCGAGGAGGCGACGGTTCACTGTGACCGTCGCCTAGAAGGAACCGGAAGCGGCTACTGTTCTCCGACAGCCAGTCTTCGGTGATCTTGGGGGGGGCTGCATGGCGTTAGCTGGGTTCGGGGTAGCAGGTCGGTGGCCACAGCCGCGTCAAAAGCTGTATGTTGCCTTGGCCAACGGAGGTGGTGTACGTGTGGCCACCTTGACCGCGCGGGCTGCGACTGCGGTCGTTGTGTTCGCTACTGTGTTGTACGAGGTCGCTACACATGTACGGGTGCTGCTCCTGACCGATTTGGACTCCGTGTTGATCGACGGATTGAATGGCGAAAACCTGTGGGTGGATAGCCGCACGATGCGTTTGGCTGGTCTCCTGGTTTCTTGCTCTGCCCAGGTGTACTCGTATGTTTCGCGGCATCTGGGGTGCCCTGTGTGCTCCGTCCCTGGCTGCCGTGGCGGGAAAGATGCGTATTCAGAGCTCTCGGTCCTGAGATAGGCATGCCCACCTAAGGCACCAGCCATGGTGTCGCTGGCAGCAGCGCAGAGCGTGAAGAGTTTCGAGAACACTTAAGCGGGCCAAGGCTGGACCAACCTGCAAGGGCTAGAGCGAGTCCGAGACGGATTCAATAAGACTACCAGGTCTAGACAAGTGGTAGAATGTGTGTTACTTCCACAACGCAGTTCTGGAGGAGGGAGAAGGCGGGGAGCGGACATCGCAACGACGGTGCCACTTCGTGAAGCACTCGTGCAAAACATGGCTGGGACGTTCGTCCATCGGCCGGGGAGTGGCAGGGAGGGCTCAAACCCTCAGCCGATTCTCCAGCTTCCCTATGAGTTTACGCCGTCCCAGAACTGCGCAAGCCAGGTGGTCTTCACAAGAGGGGAGTGGCGCTCTGGCTTCCAGCCAGGGCTCCAGTGGCGGGTGGGGCCTCGGGGGAACGCCTGCCGCACCCGCTTGGGTGGGCGAGCGAGTCCCCCGCACTGCGCCGCGTCGGCGGGAATCTCCTCCTTGTGCTCCTGCTCCTGCTCCTGCTGCTCCTCGGGCCATCTGACCTCGCGCCTCGCGCCTCGCGCGTGTCGCGGTCAGCTTCGCGCCCCTGCGGGTGCCGCAGCTGCTCCCCCTGCTGCTGCTGGTGCTCCCGCGGCGTATGCGCGCGATGCCACGCTCTCAATCTCCGCGCTGGCCAACGCCACCCCCCAATCTCTCTTTGTTACTGCTTCGGTGTGGCCTAGCATCCATCAAATCACTGTCCGCAGAAAGGGTAATGGATCTCGCGCACCCTGGTAGGGAAAACCGAGCGCAAACACACACGCACACATAAATGAAACAACGCAGCACTAATGCCGATGTGCTGCGCTGGCGGAGGAGTGCGAAGAGGAGAAGCTAGAAGGAGGGCACGCATGTGGGCGGCGCACACATGCGGCCGGGGCGAGGGGTGGTGCCCTCTAAGACTACAGGGATCCTCTCCGAAGGGATCGGGGGCTTCCAGCACTGATTATTCAACAGGCAGGATGGCTTCTGAGAGGCCTCCTGCCTTCTGGAAAGGCCGCCCCTCGCGCCACCCCCCACAGAGCGCCTCCGAGCTTGGGGAAGAGGGGATGCACAGACAACAGCAGCGGCGGCGCTGGTAGGACGGGCAGTTCCGCTTCGGCGAACGTGCAAGCCCATACAAGCTGGCGCGCCATGGGAACCCACCCAGCATATCATACCCTCAGACAACTGCACAGAAGGATTCGTCTGGCCAGCGTCGGGCTTCAACTGACCCAGGTCAGTGCAAACTCGGGTCAGTCAGGCTTCGCAGGATCCTGCAAGAACCTTCAGGATCTTGCAGGATGCTACGCGCTAACCCAAGGCAATGCAACCCTGGCGTTGCAGAATCCTGCAAGATCGGGCGCTCTGGCTGACCCCCGTTTGCATTGACCCCGTCTCAAAGCTGCCGGCAGTGGACTATTTGATGTGGCCGGCCGCCAGGAGGAGGGGGAGGAGGACGGAGGGAGGCGGCTCAAGCGGACGCCGCGCGCCTCCACTGCGCGCGGCGCACTCGAGTGTGCTACAGTCGGGCTGCTGAAACAAGGAATCGTAAATAAGGAACGAAGTCCCTTTCTGGCCGCAGAAGCGTCTTCGTGAACGAGCAGGGCTAGAGAAGCAACAACGGGATTACCTGAGGAGCAGCGAGCCCCTTCTCGCCCCAAAGCGGCCCTTTTTCCAGCGTCTCGGCTGTATAGGAAGTGCAACTGCTGCCTGAGAGCACAAATCCGTAGTGGCCACGCCTCCCCGAACGCTTCCGCGATCCGACTGAGGGCCTCCAAGCCCGACTCGCGCGGCTCCCGCCGTGGCCCCTGCCCGCGCCCGCACCCGCTCCAGCAGTGCGGCGAGCCGCTCCTCCCAGGCCGAACGGCAGGAGGGGATGGCGAAGGGCGGGCTGGCGAATCGGCCCACGCAGCTGGCTTTCCCGGCGCCAGTGTATCGAGGGAAGCGCCTGGGGGCGAGGCTGAAACCAGCTGCATCTGCGGTCGGGAACTTCTACTTAGAGTGTCGCGGCGGCGGCCGCGGCGACACACCAGGTCTTGCGAGTGGATAACGCGTCGCTCCGCTCCGCGGGGCGGGAGGCGGGGAAAGGCTCGGGACGTTGACGCTTGGGAACGGGGACGTGGACAGCGTGTCGCGCCGAAGCGTGGTGGGCCAAAACTGACGGAGCGACATGCCGAGCCAAAGTTCCAGACCATACAGTCGGGCTGTTGAAGCCAGGAGTGCTTGATAAGGAACGAAGCCCCTTCGTTGGTACCAGCAGAGCTTGGGTGCACGAGGAGGGCAAGAGGAACAACCACGACATGATCTAAGGGACGGCGAGCCCCTTCCGAACCCAAACCCGTCCGTATTTCAGCTTCCTGGCTGTAGCAGATTTCGTTCCCCCCCGCCCCCTCGTTCCCCTAGCGGCGCAAGGCCGGCGCTGCACTCGCTGCCGCCGCCTGCGCCTGCGCCGGCGCCTCGCCCACGGAGGTGTGGGGCCCGACGCCGCCGAGGATCAGACGCTCGCCACCGTCCCCGCGCTCGGGCCCGTCGACCACACCGTGCACGCCCGCGTCAAGCGTCTCCTGCACGACCACTCGGGCACCACCCGTCGCGCCAAACAGACCGAATCCCGCCCGCTCCTCGGATTCCTCGACGGCTCCCGGCGGGGTGAGCGGCCAGAGCTCGAGCGCGTGCTGCCGCGAGCTGGCCGCGGGAGCCACGCCGAGGTTTGCACCGTAATCCCCAGCAGCTTGTGTCAACTCCAGGCTGCCTGTGGACCCCCACCCGCCCAGCACAGGGCATGAAGAGGTACGGCGGAGGCCATGCAGGGCCTCCATCTCGGCCTCCTCCCTCTCGCTCAGGATCTCTAGGAAGGTATTCTGCTCACGCCAATGCACCTGCTGGCGAGGCGCACGATGGAGCAGGGTAAGGAGGGCGGCATCCTGAGAAGGCGCCGGCCTGGGGGAAGCCCTCTACCACCACTTGAGATCAGGGGCGGTTGACCCATGTCGGTGCTTTGCTGTGTCAGGTGCCGACAGCGCCCAGCAAACCACTACCATAGGTCAGCCGCCTATGGCCCACAGTGGTGAAGTGGAGCATAGGCCCTGCCCCCCAAGAGGCCTCCGTGGCTGCCTCTCCAGACCCCTGACGTCATGACTTTTTTCATATCGTCGACCCCAAAGGACTCGACCCATTCCCTGGGACTGGCTTCTCATCCTGAGCCGTTTTTTCACGGCCCCGAGGCCTGGTACAGGGCCCCCAGGGGCCGAACATATAAAAGAGTTGCCCGCCGTGATTTTTTGGCGACTCGAGGGTCGGGGGAAACGAAAAGGGGGGATAGCAAAGGGTAGGATAGAGACTCCGCTCACGTAGCTGGTTTTCCCGGCGCCTCCCGGCGCCGGGAGGCGCCCTTGTGCATCGAGGAAGAATGGGCCCGGCGGCGGGGCCGAAGCCGCCTGCATGCAGCAGATTTCGTACCCCCCCCCCACCCCCTTTCCCACCCCGACCTCCCCCCCCCTCCCCTTCGGCCCGAGACCCGAGGGGGGCCCCGGGCCTCCCTCGCCCTGCCCACTTGGTGCTCGCCGCCGGGCCTGGGCGGCCGGGGGTCCGGCAGGGCGGGGCGCCGCCACGAGCTCCCGGTCGGCCCACCGCCCGCGCGCTGCCCCGCTCGGGCTGCCGGTGGAGGCCGCCGCAGTCCCGCTCCTCGAGGAGCAGCAGGTGGCAGGGAGCAGGGGTTTGGCCAGCGTGGGCCCCACCCGGTGTTCTTGGCTGTGTGTGTGTGTGTGGTGCAGTCTGTGTGGGGGGGAACCTGTGTGGTGGGATTTGTGTGGTGCGATTTGTGTGGTGCAGTCTGTGTGGTGCAATCTGTGTGGTGCAATCTGCGTGGTGAAATCTATTTGGTGCATTTTTTGTTAAACAAACGAGTTGGCAAACCCTATGCTAATGCAAGCATCCCACCCACCCACCCGCAACTTGGCTTGCAAAACCCATGCGGCGATGATTGCGATGAATGCTCGGCGTTGGCTGGTGCACCTCTGCGGCCACGCTAGCCCGCGCATGCTCGCGCGCACAGCGGCCAGCTAGTTTGGCGCGACCGACGCGGCCGCGGTGCCGCTGACCGCTGGGCACTTCCCAGCGGGCACTTCAGTGCGAGTCGGTGAGTTGGGCGGGCGCGGTTTCATGGCGACGCCGAGAACGGTAGACACGATGATGATAGTGGCGATGCTAGTGGCGATGCTGACAGCAACGACGGCACGGCCAGTGACGGCACCAATGCTGATCACGCCGGCGACGATGACGGTGTCCTCGCGTCGGTGATGAAGGTTTTGGAAGAAGTTCGACATGCGCCCGCGGCCCACGCGCGAGAGTGGCCGCATAGTATCATTTGACACGGATCGTGCCCCCCCCCAGCACGCGCGCAAGGGCGTTCGAATGATTTCGGCATGCGGCGCGAGAGGCCCATTTGGCATAATTAAATGACAAAGTTGGAAAACAAGCGTATGGCTTTCCCGAGGATTCGCCAGAGCGCGAGCGCAAACTTTGTTGAAAACTGATGTTGCGATGCCATATGTTTTAACATGGTTTCGGGACATTCGGTTTCGAAGTCCTTGCGAAACGTGAGGTTTTGTGAAGGAGTTCGGCATGCCCGCGCGACGACGTTCGCGCGGGCACCTCGTCCCATTCTTGGCCAAAAGATTCTCGCGACAGCACGCGCGCAAAGGGCGTTCGAACGATTCCGACATGCGCGCGCGGGAAGCCCGTGTGGTAACATTTTACGAACATGTTGAAACACCAATGGTTTTCTGAAGAATTCGCAAGAGCGCGCGCAAGTTTGTTGTTGAACATCTGTGTTGCGAAAACATGTGTTCTCAATTTTATACAAGACTTGAAGATCGCTTCGCTTCGCTGTAAAGTCTTGATATAGTGCATGCTGGGAGCGATGTATGGGCCGAAGGCGGTCTTTGTGCTGGACCAAGAAGCGTGGACAGGGCCAGGGAACTGGACGGAAACCGCAAGACACGCCGGCAAGTGGACGACGGGCGCGCGCGTGCGAGGGTACAGGGGGCTGGTGTCCACAATTTGCGGCAGGAAGAATTCGCCCGGAAGCTGTCCTAAGTTTCTTGTGGTATTTTTGTGAAACGTTTTCGTCCCTGCCGCTTCAGGGCGCCGTGGTTAGCGCGGACCGACCCACAGGCTGGGGTTAGCGCGGACCGACCCGAAAGCTGTAGCCAACTTTCCACTCCCAAGGCAAACATATTGCTGAACGCCCGAATGAGGTTAGGAAGAAGGGCGGAGGAGGCGGAAGACATTGTCGGTGGAGCTTTCGGGGTATCTTGAGTTAGTCTACGGGTTAGTGGGCCCCCTGGAGCCTTTTGGACACCGTTTTGGAGCAAGTGGAGACATGTGAAACGCCTTTGGGCCATATTGGGGCCGTATTTGGCCGTGCTGGTTCCATGTTGGGCCGTCTTGGAAGCATCGGTAGCTCTGAGGCCTTTTTGGAGCTCAGGAAGCGTATGAGATTGTGGGGGCCTTCCGGGAGGTCCTGGAGGCCTCCTGGAGGGTTCGGAAGCATGGTGGGAGCCGCACCGCCCAAGATAGTGTCCTACGCCCCTTCTTGGGTTCTCTCGGGTCTCTGGGGACTCCCTTTGGGCGTGCTTAGGGCCACTTGAGCCTTCATGGACTGTCTTGGGGCCCTCTCGTGCCGTCGTGGGGCCCTCTTGAGCCGTCTGGAGGCCTTCCATGGCCAGCTTGGACGTTGGGAAGATCCACGGAAGCAAACATGCTGAAGTATGTTTCCAAAGGGAATGGGACAATTTTGGCCTCTTGGGGCCTCCATGGGGGGCCTGTTGGAGCTGCCTGGGGGCGTCTTAGGGCCCTTCGGCTTGTGTGAGGCCACCTTGGGGCCTTTCGGAGCGCTCCTGGGGCCCGCCGGGGGTGACCTGGGAGCCTCTTGTGCAGTCTCTTGAACTCCCTGTGGGCAATCTTGGGGCCTCTTGGGCCGTCTTGGACGCCCCCTGGGCCGTCTCGGGGCTCTCTCGGGCCGTCTTGGGGCTCTCTGGAACCGTCTTGGGGCCTTCTTGGGCCGTCTCGGACGTTGGGAAGATCCATGGAAGCGAACATGGTAAACATGTACGTTTTCTTGAAGGAATGGGGCGATTTTGGCCTCCCGGAGCCTACTTGGGGGGCCTGTTGGAACCGTATTGAAGTGTCTTGGGGGCCTTCGGCCTGCATTGAAGCCATTTTGGGGCGTCTCGGAACGCTCTGTGGGCCCTCCCGGGGTGAGCTGGGAGCCCCTTGGGCAGTCTTGGGGACTCTCGGGGTGACCTCAGAGCCTCTAGGGCAATCTGGCAGCCTCCTCGGGAGGTCCAGAAGGCCCGAAAAGTGTCCACGAATGGGTCGCCGGAGCCGTCCAAATTCTATTGGGGGGGGTCGGGTGGGCGGGTGGGACCCATCCTTGGTGTCAGATAATATAAATAAATATATATGTATATGTATGTATATATGTATGTCCCCTTTTCTATATTTTTATAATTCCGGGGGCGCGGACCCCCCCCCCGAAACGGGACCCCCCGGATCCGTGCCACGGGGGCGGCCGAAAATCCTTTCCCAGGCGTGCACGCAGGCGGGCGGCAGCGCCAAATCGGTCGGCGCAAGCCCACAGAGACACCCAAGACAGTGCAAGATAGCACCCGGGTAGCCTTGAAGACCCTCCGCGAGAGCCCCAAGACCGTTCTCAAAGGGGGCCCGAGAGAACAGAATCATTGAATCTCCACTGGTTTTTCAATGTTTTCAGCGTCCTCGCTTTTTCGGGTGTCCGACGCTCCAAGACCGCTCAAGAAGCTCCCAAAACCACCCCACAACGGCCCAAGAGGCTCCCAGAGCGCTCTGAGAAAGCCCCAAGACGGCCCAAGACGCGTCCGAGATGGCCCACGAACGTTCCAAGACAGCCCAAAAAGGAGCCCTGGGAGGGACCACGATCTGAAAATACGAGCCTCCCGCCCCGAAAGAGCCCAAGGAAGCCCCAAGAAAGCTCCAAAGGGCCTCGGGAAGCCCCCTAAGACGTTTCGGTGAGGCTCCAAAACGTTCAAAAATGTTACTTTCCCATTCGTTTTTCAATGTTTTCAGCGTCCTCGCTTTTTCGGGTTTCCCACGTTCCAAGACCGCCCAAGAAGCCCCCCAAACCGCTCCACAACGGCCCAAGGGGCTCCCAGAGCGTCCTGAAAAGCCCCAAGACGGTCCAAGCTCCTCCTCCTCCGCCTCCTCCTCCTCCCTGTTCCTTCTCCTCCTCCTCCTCCTCCTCCGCCTCCTCCTCCGCTCCTCCGTAAATGGAGCAAGCGAGCGCTACTCAAGCGGATGCAGGAGGGCGCAACGGCCCCACAACAGCAACCGTCAGACCGCTCCACAAGGCTCCGGGAGAACCCCCGCGAACCCACTCGAAGGGCTTCAGCGCCCCAAGGCGGCCCAGCGGCCCTCAAAAGGGGGTCCCGACGGCTCATAAGAGCCAAGCCGACCAACACCCTGCCCGTCAAACCCGCCGCCCTCGAAATCGCACCACTCCGCCGCCCCGCGCCCCCTTCATCTGATATTCCTTGAAAAATAGCCGCATTATGCTCATAACCCTGGGTTCGCAACCAATTTTCCAGAAATTCGGTTGCGAACCCGGGATTCCAGCTGTTTCCCGCGCGGCCCCCACTCATATGCGCCATTCCATGCGCCCGCGGCCTCCAACTCGCAGTTTTGGCCCGTCCCAGGTTGATTGCCCCCCTTTCTGCTCTTCCTGCGCTTCTCCGAAGTACGAACCAGCGGACCGCGGCTAAAATGAAAAAAAAGATGGCACCACGGGGCAACCATTCCAAAGCTTCAAGGAACAAGGTGCACGGCGCGAAGCGCCAATGCAGCCTTGCATATGTGTGTATATATATATATATATATATATATATTGGACACTCGATTTTGAAATCCCTACGGCATCTAAGGTTTTTGACTAATTTCGGCATGCGCGCGCGACGACGCGCGCGTGTGCACTTCGTCTTATATTTTGCATCTGTTCTGCAAGGGATTCTTGAAGATGGATGATTCTTTATCGACGAGTGTGCGCGCATAGTAATTCTTTGCAGAGTATAAAGGGGGGTCGATACAGGTTGGGCTGGAATGATATGAATTCACATTTAGGATGGACGATGGAGTATAATTATATGTAGATTGCACTACGAAGCGGGGGACCGTTAACCTTGGAAGGAGGGGGGGTAGATCCGAATACTCTTTTGGAAAGAAAAATCAATGCGGCGCAATCTATGCAAGGTGGCGACGGGGCGGCGACGGCGGCAATACAGCCGCCAGACCGACGCACAGCCCCAGACGTCGGGCGGCGACGGGGCGGCGACGGCGGCAACAGAAGTAGCCGCCGGACCCACGAACAGGCCCAGTTCTGGAGACCAGAAGTCAGAAGCCCTAAGTGCAAGCACTGTTTGGGTAACCTTCGGAGGTCGCCGATCCGAGAAATCCGCGTGGAACTCCGCAAGCTGATGTTATATGTCGCTTTGCGTTCCCCGAGCTCCGCTCGCCGTGGGGCACTGTGCGGGAAGGGGGGCGGCCTTGGCGGTGACGGCGGTCTCGGACGCGCCTACGGCGCCGCCCGACAGGCGGCCCCGCGCCCGCCGCCTCAGGCCCGCCCAGCCGCATCTCCGCGGCGGCGGTCGTCGGCACGCTGGTCGCCTTGCCGACCCGCGGCATCTCGGTGCCCGCGTCGCGCTGCTGCGTGCCCGTGCCCTCGACGACCGACTCCTCGACGCCTGTGCTGGCCTGCCGCGAGCCTGGGCTCGTGGCGGTGCCCGCAAATCTCGAGGGCGCTGCCCTGCCGTCTGCGCGAGAGGGCCGCCCCGCACTCAGCGACGGTCGCCATGCCCGAGGCAGCGACGCCGGCGGAGCCTCGGGCCCAACCTCGCCAGCCCCGACGAGCACTGCGCCCTCTCCGCCAGCACGCCCCTGCCCGGTTGCTCGGCACGCGCCGCCTGCTCGCGCAGGAACACCCGCGCACCCTCCGAGCGGTGTGACCTGGCCCTGCGGCCCACGATCGTGATGCTGCCTGCCTCGGAGGAAGCCACGAGAGGTACCGATGCCGCTCCTCCCCCGACCTCTCTCGGAGTGCGTCCCGACCAGACTTCCGAGGCGAATCCAGCGGTGGCGACGAAGGCCTCCCAGGATAGGCCGAAAAAGGCGAGAGACGAGGCAAGGGTAGCGGTATCGGTACCTTCCCAAACATCTGGCGTCACGATTTTTTAGAAACAAAGGCCCTCGACCTCTCGACCACTTCCCTGGGACCAGTTTTTCATCCCAAGGTCTTTCTTGACGGCCCCGAATCCCCGTACAGGCCCCGAGTGGCCGAAAACAAAGAAAAACCTCAGCCTCTATTTTCTCGAGACGCCGAATGTCTGGGGTTGGAGGCGGTCAAGGAGTTTGAGCGGATGGGCACCGTGACACTTCGCCAGGAGGAAGGAAACCCAATCCGCTCAAAATCAGTCCACCGACCCTTCTCGGCGGGGTCCATCTGGTGCAATTTCTCATTCAAGAGATCCATTTCTGAAGGTCCCAGGGCCCGAAAACGCCCCCCAGAGGCCGAACAGATACAACACCTTTTCGGACCCAGCACCTCGAACCCGCCCCCCCTTCTTGCTGGCAGGCACCACTGCTGGGCCATCTCCCCCCCCCAGCCAGCTCCAAGTCTGGGGCACCTTTTCTAGGACGAGAATGATGTCATGATAGGACTGGCTCAGGATACGTTTCAGGATTTTCACGAAGTATCGAGCGGCCCTTTTTTCTGCAGCCCGTGTGGAACATTCCGAAATCAGGGGAACCCTGGAAATCTTGGAACGTATCCTTTCATGAGATCCGAGGTCGCGAAAAAAATGAAACACCGTAGACAATCACGACCGGAGCCCTCGACCCCATCTTCCTGCGCCATTTTCTGAGCCAGATCGATCTGAAATGGCCCCGGGGCCCGAAACCTGGCAACAAACGCCCGGCTCGACAAAGATGAGACGCCAGCATCTCTCAAGGTCTGCCCTCTCTCTTGCTTCTGCAGGCGCACTCCCGGCATGCCTCGCTCCTGCATGCTCACGCCAGGCATCGCTTCGCGCTGCGGGGCCGCAGCGTTTCGGGGAGGAGGAGGGGGGGGAGGAGGAGAGATGGAGTAGGGAGGAGGGAGGGGGTAAGGGAGTGAGGAGGAGGAGGATGAGGAGGAGGAGGAGGAGGAAGAGGAGGAGAAGGAGGAGGAAGAGGAGGAGGAGGAGGAGGAGGAGGAAGAGGAGGAGGAGGAGGAGGAGGAGTAGGAGGAGGAGGAGTAGGAGGAGGAGGAGGAGCAGGAGGAGGAGGAGAAAGAGGAGGAGGGGGAGGAGGAGGATTTTCCTCCTCTGAGCCTCTGGCGGGCCCGGGCTCGGACTCCAGCCGCGGGCGCCCCGCCCAGGGCTCCCGGCCCCCTGCTGGAGGCGTGCGGGCCGCGGGGGAGCGCCTGCCGGCGGCTCCGAGGGGTGTGGTCTGCAACGGGTGCGGTTTTCGGCGGCGCGCACCAGGGGGTACAGGGGGAGAGGGGAAGGCTTCCTAGAAGGAGGCTGCTTCTAAGAAGCCTTTCCCCCTCCCCCTACTCTCTGCGCGTGGCTGAGATTTGCAGCCCGCACCCTGGGGGGCGGGCGAGGACCCCGGCAGAGTGCCCAGACCCCCTCGAGTCATGAAACAAAAACACGGCGGTTGTTTTTCTATGTTTCCTGCCTCTGGGAGCCCTTACTGGGCCTCGGGACTGTCAAAAACGACTCAGGATGAAAAAACAATCCCAGGGAATGGGTCAAGACCTCTGTGGGTCGACGTTAAGAGCAAATCATGACGTCGGGGGTCTGGATCAACAGAGTTCTCCGCCGCGCTCCGAGGCGTGGTGCCCCAAAGCCTCAACGGCGCAGATCGCAATGCACGCACGCCACGGCGTAACCTTAGAACGCCCAAGGCTCGCTAGGGATTAGTTTCCCCCAGAACGACCGAAACCTCACCGAAACCCACCAAAAACCCTCCCCGAAGGGCTCCAGGAGGCCTTTCGGAGGCTTCCAGCAGGGTTTCGAAAAAGTCTTGCTTGTTTCGGGGGGGAACCAGTAAGTAGCGAAGCCTCTACAATGGAATATAATCGCCGCTCTTCCTGAAGGAGCACCCGCTGCGCAGACTCACGTGCAAAACCAATTCAAATCAGCCTCGAATCTGGGACGAGAGCCGTGCACGCGGGAGGCCAAAAAAGCAATGGGCTCCCAGCGTCTACGCATTGCTGCCCTGACGTAGGTGTGAGCTGCCTGGCGCGCCTGTGTTCCTTTGTGCCGATGTGCCGTCTAGGCGCAAGGCTTGCTTGCTGGCAGCCCCAATCGAAACCTGGGCTTTCCAAGCGTAATTCGCCATGCCCTTTGTAGTCACCGAGCCTGGGCCACGGCGGCGGCGCGGCCTGGCAACGCCGCGCCGCCCCAGTCGTGCGGGCGGCGGCGCCCGCCTGGGCACCGAGGGCGGCACCGCCCGCGTCGGGTGCGCCTGGCTGCTGTGGTAAAGACTTCGGTAGGGAGAAGGAAACGCTCCACCACCAACACCTGGAGGATGGAGGCAGAGGGTGGTCGGAGGCGGTGGTGGTGGTGGTGGTGGTGGTGGTGGTGGTGGTGGTGGTGTACACCGTTTCGGGCGCTCTCGCGGGACACCGTGCACACCCGCATCCCGCACACCAGCCCACCCTGAATCCCCCCAGGTGGTGGTGGTGTTGCGCTTCCTGCTCCCAACTTCGGGCTGCGCACATGCAGCCCCACCGGCTGTCCCCGCTGGCCTCAGCGGGTTCTCCGAGTACGGCAAGCTCGCGCCGTGCCAGCCCCAGCGTTGGTTCCTGACACCGCGGGGATCGTTCAACCTTGAACGATCGGCCGCTTCCGAAACGTCAAACCGTTCAACATCGACCCATTCTGGGTCGCCGTCGGCGTTCAACGTGGAACGCCGGCGGCGGGGTTGCCGCTGGTCGACACGACGCGCACCTGCCGTAGTCCCAGCTGGCCTGAACGAGCCTCCCGAGAAATCCGGGGCGGTCTCAACACCGGGACTGCGGGGCTGCCCGTGCGCAGTCCGAAGCCTCACCACCTCCCGAGTTCGGGAGTTGCTGGTAGTGGTGGGGGGGGCGAGAAACAGGGGGGAAGAAAGGTGCACCTCTCGTGCACTTTTAGGACCCTGAGGCGCCCCCGCTGGGACCCAAAAGGGGCACGAAAGGTGCACGTCTCCCCTCCGCCCATCGGTTGGTCGACCCCCATGCATAACGTCCATCCGATGGGCTCCTCCATCGGTCTGGGCCGCTGGGTCGTCGCGTCGGCGGCTGCTGCTGCTGCCGCTGCCCGAGCCAGTGGGCGCGCTCACTTCCGGCGGCGGGGCACCCGCTGCCAGCAGCTCAGGGCGCTGCGCCCGCGACGGCGCGGGTTCTCGGCCCTCTCCGCCCGTGCCGGCACGGCCGCCTGCGCGCCATCCGACGCGGGGGTCCTGTGCCTCCTGCTCCGGATCGTGGCGGCCCTCGAGCTCCGGAGGCCGCAGGCCAAACTCATGCTGAGAGCGGGGGCTGCTGCCGACGACGGGGCTCGCGGAGTCATCGGGGAACACGCCTGAGTCTTGCCAAGAACTCGCGTCCCACTGATCTGTGCAACTGGTGTCGTCGCGAGTCTCGGCATGATCGTAGAGTTGTTCAGGAATTCGCCGACCACTGCTTGCCGGGGGTGAACAGGCGCGTGAGATGATTGGCTGTCACCCCTCCCCCTTCCCCCCTCCCCAGGGGTCCAAAAAACCTTTAGAGGGCGTTGGAGGCCCGGGGTTCAGGGGGTCCGAGCTCGTCAACGCACCTCTGGGGCCCTCGGAGCCTCAAAATCAGCCCTCCGTGGCCGTCAAGATGCCCAATATGCTTTCTCAAATTATAGAAGATGGCTCTACAAAGGATGACGGAAAGAGGCGAGGTACTAGTGATGACGTTCTGGTGGGGCGAATCGTCTTTTAGGGAGGGGTTCCAAGGGATGGGCAAAGCGGATGGCACTGCCGTTAACACGCGCTCCCCCCCAAAAGGCCCAAGAGGCGCCCAAGACGGCCCAAGATACCCCGAACACGGCCCAAGGGAAGTCCAAGACGGCCCAAGAGCGCTCCCACAGACCCTGAGACCGTCCAAGAGCGTTCGAAAATGGCCCACGATGGGGCCAACAGGCCCTCCAGGGGACTCCCAAGAGGGCCCAAGGAGGCCAAACACATTGATTTCTCTTGGGTTGTTGATTGTTTTTAGGGTACTCGCCTTTTCGGGCCAAGAACTGCCCAAGAGGCCCCAAATATCGCCCCAAGACGGCCTTAAAGGACCCCAAGAGGCCCCAAGACGGCTAAGGAAGGCCCCCAGACGGCCCAAGAGGCCCCCAAGACGGCCCGCAAGGGCTTTACAGCGGCCCAGGAGGGCCCCAAGAGAGCCCCAAGAGGGCCCCCGAGAGGCCCCCACGAGAGCCCCAAGACGGCCAAAGCCCCCCATGATGGCCCCCAAGGGCCCCGAGACGGCCCAAGAGGGCCCCCAAAGGACCCCACAGAAGGCCTGGAGACACCAAATTCGATGATGTCCGTCAGGTTCTTGCTGGATGTCTGTTTCTTCACGACATGAGCTCTAAACACGAAGGCTTCGAAGTATGGACGGTGGTGTGAGCTCTCGGGCCTCACGACGGCACAGTGACGAACACAGCTTTGACGCCGAGGCTCCTGCCCCCAGACGGCCCACTGACGGACACAGCTTTGACACCACGGCTCCCACGAGCTCCAGGCGGCGGAAACACACATGTTTAGGCCAGTCGGTGGCGTAGAAAGGTTTGAACGCCAAGGCTCCCAACAGCTCCCGATGAGGTGAACGCTCTGAACGCCAAGGCTCCCAGTACGAACGATGATGTTGAACTCTTTTATCACCTAGGCCCCCAAGAGCTCACAGTGGCGTGACAAGCTCTTAACACAAAGGCACCACAGAGTGAGTGGTGTCACGAACCATCTCGGGCTAGTTCCTGGGATGATGATGCTGATGCTGATGCTGATGCTGATGCTGATGATGATGATGATGATGATGATGATGATGATGATGATGATGATGGTGGTGGTGATGCTGATGCTGATGCTGATGCTGATGCTGATGCTGATGCAGATGCTGATGCTGCTGCTGCTGCTGCTGCTGATGATGATGATGATGATGATGATGATGATCATCATCTAAGAGGGTCAACAACCCAAACTCGAACGCCGCTCGGGCCCAAAAGCTTCCTTCGGCGCCTCGCCCACAGCGTCGAACCGTGTCCGCGGCATTCGCGAGGATCTGCCACGCTCGAGACCGCCGCACCTGCCACACCAGCGGCTGCCAATCGTCGCCGCGCTGCCCGAGAGAGGCAGCCGACGGCAAAACCCCGAAGGAAACATGGCCCTCCGCTGCTCGGAGGCCGATCCTGAGTGTCAGCAAATCCTACACCCACGGCTCCACTCCGATATTGAGGGCGCGCTTCCCTCCGCAGAAGTCCCCAGATAGCGGGCACCTCGCCAACAACAGGCGCAGCGCGTAAGCTACATCGCGAGCGCCCCTGGGGTGCAACACGCAGCCGAGTGCTTTGTTGCACCCCGTTGCCGCTCGGAGGATTGACCTGAACGTGGGTGGAAACCCGCACACCTCTAGCGCCGTCGAGAGAAAGAGATAGAGGAAGTGCCACGAGTACCCCCCCCAGCGCCAGGGAGACACTGCACTGGAGCGGCCCTGGGATGCAACGCTTTCCAACCGCAGCCCTGTTGCGCCCCCTGCCCGCTTGGAGAATGAACCTTGACGTCGGCGAACCTGCGCCCGCGGGTCTGCCTCCATTGCTGCGCCCGCGACTCGCGAGCACAAGGCTGCATTTGAAAGACGGCCGAACTGACGACGCCCTCTCGCAGCACGGCAAAACCGAAAATCCTTGCTACCCCAGCCGATGGGTGAACCCAGGTGTCGGCAAACCTACACCAGTGGGTCCATGAAGAGAATAACATCAGCCACGCTCCCCCGATCCTGATCGGGATCTGGCGTGCCTTTGCAATAGGTGAGGAATGCCGATGCTGCCAGAGCCTGCCGGGGGTCGCACACGGCTTCGCGAGCCCTGCAAGCCGAACGCTCTGCGCCCACGCGCCAATGAACGCGCAACAAAAAGAGGCCCCCGCTCTCCACAGGCCTTGAGAGCTGCCGAGAGAAAACGACCACCAAGGCCGGAGCACTGGTGGCGGAGGCGCGGGGACCTCCGAGTGGCCGCTTCCTGCAATGCCGTTGCTGCTCACCACGCCCCGCTGCTCGCCGTCGGTCCTTTCCTCGATGACCTCCGTCTGGCTGCTCATGAGTGCTGCGCCTGCTTCCAGCATGGCCGGTGCCACAGAGATGGCGGGGCCCTCGCCGCCCCCGCCGACGAGCGGTGGGCCCGAACTGGGGCGGCCCCATCCTGCGCA